AGGACCAGCAGTTTTAACAGATCATCTGGCGTCTGTCTCAGCAGCACTGACCTTAGCTCGTCGTCAAGGCCTCCTAGCTTCCTGCAACTGGGGTGAGAACTTTACAGCTCCACTATATACAGCCCGTGGTCTTCCCCATCCATATTTGACGGAGGAATAGACAGAGTCTCCAAAGAAGTCACCAAGGATTCTAGAGAAGTCCTGATGATTAAATCGATGGACACGCTAGCCAGTGTCATTCGACAGACTTCACAAAGATACTCAGGAGATCTAAATTCACGGGCCTACAAAGAGCTAGAGACAGGAAGATTGCCAGTTCCAGGGGAAGAGATTCTTTTAAATTAAGCCCATATGGCAACTATAGAGGAGGGTCAGGACGAGGCAGGACACCCAGAGGTTCCCGCAACTATAAGCGCTGAAAGACAGGTTGAAGCGACTGGAGTCTTCCACCCCAGCCGTCTAGTACAACCGTCACAAGTGGGTGGGCGTCTTCAACTACACTGGGAAAACTGGGGAATACTTCAAGACACCTATGTCTCCAACATTCTTCAGCAGTTTAGGTATCCCACTACAGGCCAAGCCTCCACTAACAGTCAACCCTCACAAGTTCGAGAGGTACAGGCACAACAACTACTAAAGTTAAAGAGGTTACATTACTCCTAACCAAGCAGGCCATAGAAGTAATAGAGCAAGGAAACATCGAGACCAGGTTTCTACTCCCAGTTTTCCTAGTACCCCAAGAAGAACTCCAAGGAGAAATACAGACTCATTTACAACATGAGCTTCTTCAACAAGACTTACTTAAGCAGACCTCCCAGGTTCACTATGATACATCTACGCGAGCTCTGGCAGATGATTAAGCCCCATGGACTACATGGGCAGTATAGATCTACAAGATGCTTATCTGCACATCCCAATACATCGAATCCAGGAAATACCGCCGGGTTTACGCTAGGCCGGGTTACATTACCAGTAGAAAGTACTCCCATTGAATAGCATCAGCCCCATGGTTATTCACGAGGATAACGAAACCGATTGTTACCTATCTACATCGTCAAGGGCTCACGCGAGTCGTTCTTCCTCGACTGACGGGATACAAGTAGATCAAGATCCACAGCATCTCAAACTACAGTTAAACTACATCATAAAGCTACTAACACAGCTGGGATGGTTAGTAAACTTACACAAGTGGGACCTAGTACCATCGCAAGATCTGCAATTCCTAGGAATCCGATTTATCACCAATCTCAACCCGTATAGTGGTACCAGAAGACCGTTGGCTCAAGATCCAACAGATCATTCCACCAGCTCTACTTTCACCGCTACCACTTCGACAATGGCAGAGCTTACTAGGTCTTCTAACATCAGCCCAAGACTTGACAGTCATAGGCAGATTACAGTTTCGTCCATTACAGGTCTTCGATCAATACACATCTCGACGACCTACAACCATTCAGTCTACCGAAACATCTCAGACCTCATCTATTATGGTGGACAAAGAAATCGAATGTCTGCGAAGGGATTTGTTTAGCAGAGCAGGAATTCAAAACCCATCTATATGTAGGCGGCGTGGCTCCAAGGTTGGGGAGCTCATCTCTCCAACCGGACGGCATCAGGGTTATGGACTCAGCTAGAAAGCAAACTCCACATAAGCGCATTAGAGATGAAAGCTGTAATCAAGCGCCATAAGACATTGGAGCAACATTCTACAGAATCGCACCTGATGATACATACCGACAACTTCGACAGTGGCGTTTCATGTGAACAGACAAGGCTCAGCGAGATCGCCGAACCTTTTGAATTTAACCTTTCAACTGTTCGAATTAATCCAAGATCTAAATCTACATGTCAAAGCATGCCACATTCCCGAGCCAGGAATATACTAGCAGAGCGCTCTCTCGGCCACATCTACGTCGCCCGACAGAATGGATGCTCAATACAGAGATATTTGCACAGATAATCAAGCAAATAGGAGCCCGCTTAGTAGATCTATTAAGCCACAAGGTTCAACAATCAACTACCGACATTCGTGTCACCAGTGCCAGACCCACAAGCATGGGCAACAGGCGGCTCTAAGCATATCATGGGAAGGCCTCAATGCGTGCGGCGTTTCGCCCCAGCAATAATACCTCTAGTATTACAGAAAATCAACCAAGCGCAGAGCCTACAACTCACTTTGGTCAGCCCTATTGGCCGGCCAGAGCGTCAGTTTCCAGCTCTAATACAAGATATCGGTCAACGGCACTAGAACTACCCAAGCTAGCGCCAAACCTGTTAATACATCCTCACACCAAACAGGTGCACAGAAACCCAGAAGTATTCAAACTTCACATTATGGACTGTATTAAAATGTGTTTAAACAAGAGAGGATATTCTACCAGGGCTGACAAAGCGGTCACGCTTGCCTTACGATACTCAGCAGCGTGGCAATGCGATGACAAGTGGCAAAGTTTCGAAAATTATGCAGCAAACAAGGGTTTTACAGCGAGAGATGCTACGCATCCTCAAGTGGCAGACTATTTGTGTTACTTTACGGCAAAACAAACATTTAAAGGCTCGACATTGTCAACATATCTTGCCGAGCTTAGTTCTGTGATTTCTATGAGAACGGGTGTTAAATTAACAAGAACACCAGAGTTACTGGCCTTACTACGTGCTTTCCGATTGGAGGACCAAAAGCGGAAATTCCACGCCCCAGCTTGGGATCTGAATGTAGTTTCACGACACCTCACAAGTGAGGATTATGAACCATTGGAATTAGCGTTTGAATTTCTCTCACAGAAAACAGTCTTCCTGTTATAAGCTAGCCACGGCAGCCAGAATATCTGAAATTCATGCTCTAGATTATGAGAGGATACAGTTTGATGACAATCAAAAAGACAGCACCTGGGATTAAGATGGGATTTCATCGCCAAAAATCAACTACCAGGTCAACCAGACAGGTTATTTCACATCCCTGCGCTATCCTCAATTCTTGGATCTCAAGATACATTGGACTTATCTCTATGCCCAGTACGAGCTCTCATAATCTATTTGCGTCGTTCCAAAACAAGGCGAAGATCGCTCAGAAGATTGTTCATCCCGTTATAAGCCTACAAATCAGACAGAAGTCTCGGTACCACCATATCTATATGGATAAGAACTGTCATTTTCTGCGCCTATAAGGCAGCAGGACTGGACCCTCCAACAGCATCAAATCCCCATGAAATCAGGGCATTGGCATCCACCCTCGCCCTTCACGGTAACTGTTCATTGAATACAATTATGGAAGGATGCTTTTGGAAATCTAACATGGTGTTTGCTAATCACTATCTCAGAGATATCACCACCGAGGACGTCTCTGGCATTCATCATTTCGGTCCTTTGGTCCCTCGCTCAGCAATTGACAGTCCCTAAGTGGCGTTAATATTCACCTTACGAGATTATTAGATATATGATACATATATTCACTAGCTTATAACTCCATGGAGTTCTAGGGCTATGTACATATTTAGCTTAGGTTATTCAACCTTAAGCTCATACTGAGTTATATTCAGTGTACAGCTACGTTTAGAGTAGCAGTTTATATATATATTGATATATCAGTATATTAGTAAGGTAATACCCCACTTATAGTGTATATATCTATGGCTTATTATAAAGGAAATATCCTAAGTCTCAATGCCTTATGAAGTTCCCGCAGGGGTTATTACAATATCACTTACTTAAATCACTAATTATAATCCAAAGTATTCTGTTTACCCACCACCTCTCCGGTGGATTCTACAAGCAAAAGAGCATGAGTCAGGATAAGGAAAAATATGTAATTTTTTGAGTAAAATTGATATTTTATACTTATCCTGACTCATGAGGTTAGCCCTCCCATCCTCCCCACATAACACTTTGGATTTCCCTGTAAATTCAAGTGTTGGGCTCGCAAAATCAGGAGAGAGTGAAGCATGAGGCCAGAGGGTGGCGACACCTGTTCAGCTTACGGCACGGGGAGGTAACTCGTGGGTGAGTACCAATTAGTGATTTTACATTGAAGGGAGCTTCAATTAAGGAGATACAAGTGTTCCACTATGTTGCAAGAGGAAGGGGACAAGCAAAAGAGCATGAGTCAGGATAAGTATAAAATATCAATTTTACTCAAAAATTACATATTTCTACGTTTCCTATCTTCCTACCAGTGAGACTGTAGTTAGGCCGAACTTAGTTTTACAGATATTTCACACTTTCACATAGTAACCATATACATTGTAGATATAAATGCGAAAAATCAGGGTTTTTTCTATTTCCGACAGTACTTTAGTGAGTCTTGTGTTATTTAGTGTTTCCTTGTTTACGGGAGACATTAGCTATAGTGGATCACAGCAAATGGCAAGACCTTCATAAAATGTCTGTTTCTCTAGATCTGAGTACAGATATTATTTTTTGGCTTTACTCGACACCACAGCAGATTCAGATGGAGCTAAAGGGGGATGAGATGTAAGCTGTTATGTATGACCTGAAACTGCCATACATGGGTTAATAATATTAACGTGTGAAGAAAATGATGTACCCTTGAAGATACAGGTTTGAATTGGTCTTCAACAACCCATGCTTGTCGTAAGAGACGAATAACGGGATTGGATGGTCAGGCTCACTGACTTGGTTGACACATGTCATCATTATCCCAATTGCATAGATCGATGCTCATGGTGTTGATCACTGGATTGTCTGGTCCAGGCGATTATTTACAGACCTCTGCTATATGGCTGGAACAACAAAGAAAGAAATTAAGTAATGAGCTTTCATGATTAGTTTTATGCTGACTGTAATGAAGTTTATGCTTTTAATTTGAATCATTGTTGAATTTGAGGTTTATATAAACAGGTTTACAATAAAAGAGAATTAAAAAACTTATGTAATGACATAGATGCGCCATGGAATTCCATACATTTTGTCCGAAATGATATTAACTTTCTAAATGCCACTGAAAGACATTAATCTATACTGTTCTTCACTAAAATAATTTTCTTTGAAATCCTTACAATGTTTGCAGCATTAGATAAAGCAAGTTTCATCTTATTCCTTCATCACTTTGGGCTTTTCTAGAAACTAAAGCTGATACACTGTATGAAAATCTAATTCAAAGCAACTTTAAATTCAACTCACTCATCTCTCATATCATATGTATAATAATATATCTCATGGACTTGCCAGAGGTCAGTCTGGTGCAAGACCGACCCCGACTGTTAGCGTCCCTGAAGCCGCCAGTGGAGCGGGGTGGGGAAAAGTACACCATCTGGGTGAGCACCCTTAAGAGGGAGGTGGCCAACATTGACGATCAGAGTGTCCGCAGATTCTTCTTTTCATGTCGGAGAATGTTGGAGGTACACAATTTTTTACAACTATTTTGTAAATTTTACAAAATACAGAAACGCACAAAATTCACTGTTGATTAGAGGCCTATAAATAATGTCTTAAAATACAATTCAAACTGGGGTGGTAGGGTAGCCTAGTGGTTAAGGCATCCACTCGTCACGCCGAAGTCTCATGTTTGATTCCCCTCATTTCTGGTGTCCACCCGCCATGATATTGCTGGAATGTAGGTAAAGCAACCATAAACTCACTCACTCACTCACTCACTGTTAACAATATAGCTGTTAGACTGGCTAGTCGGCACCAGATGACTATGCTTTGTAGTCATCATATTTTGTATGATCCCCAGGGAGTTGAGATTGATAATACGATGTGCAGTTGAGACTGACATCCAGTGATCAAGGGAAAAACGTAGTGCCTTTGAGCAGCTGAGCTGGATATCGGTCGCTATACAAATGTTAGCATAATAACAATCATAATATTTTTCATGGTGACAAACAATGGACCTGTTTGAATTTACAGTTACCACTCATAAGTAAATTTAGTTTGATGCCACTTTTAGCAATATTACTACAATATCATGATGGGGACACCAGAATTGGGCTCCACATATTGTGCCCATGTTGGGAATCTAACCCGGGTCTTCGGTGTGACAAACAATGCCTTAACCACAAGGCTACCCCACCGCCCCTTTACTACACATAACATCTAAATCCAGGCAAAATGATATATTAGTGTCATATGTACTTCAAGCAGAAGTACAGGATTGGATGCTTCTTGAACTTCAGGGGGCGGTGGGGTAGCCTAGTGGTTAAAGTGTTGGCTCGTCATGCCGAAGGTCTGGGTTCGATTTCCCACCTGGGTGCAATGTATGAGGCCCATTTCTGGTTTCCCCCACCGTGATATTGCTGCAATATTGCTAAAAGTGGCGTAAAGCCATACTCAATCAATCAATCAATCAATCAATCAGTCATGACCTTCCTCCTCATAGTATAAAAACAGTAAACACTCTGCTATTGACCCATGTAATGAGTGAGTGAGTGAGTATGGTTTTAGCAATATATTTCAGCAATATCACAGCAGGGGGCCCCAGAAATGGACTTCACATATTGTACCGCCATATAGCTGGAATATTGCTGAGTGCGGCGTAACTAACTCACTCCCTCACTCATTTACTGTACGAGTGAACGCTTTAACCACTATACTACCCTACCGCTCCTATTGACGCTTATCTTATCTCACACATAAATGTCGATTTCTGATTGGCTGAGCGCTCTTCTGTTATTTTAAATGTACCCTGCTGTCAATGGCAACTCATTTGGTACTTCATGGTGGTAATTCTTTATCTTAAATAACATTGAATAACGTATGATGTACGGAAATTACCAATGTTTTGCAAATGCAAATTGATGGAAGGGAGATAACTCTAAATCTGTTTTTCTTGTCAGCAAAATCTATCGATGGCTACAAAAAGACTTGTACCTGTGCTTCAAACAATTCAAAATTAACATTAAGGTGTTCGTTAAGATAAATACGTTGTTCACTGGTCCCTCGGGCCCCAGGGGTTGATGTACCCTTCGGGCTCAGGGAACATAAACAAACATCGAGGGTACATCAATCCATGTCCCCCTCGTGACCAGTGAACAACTTATGATGTAACTCATATTGATAATGTGTTTCATCTTCAGTTGTACAACAAAGCGTTGGCCATCAACGAGGATTGCCGGACACTGGATGCACTCAGTTATCTGGAGAAAGAGATAGAGGCTCTCTACTCATCCAGTGTGGTGATGGATGTCACTGACCACAAGCTTAAAGAGCTCTTTGAAAGTAAGCAAGTACGATGTAAACAGGGCGGTAATTTATTGGGCCTTTGTTTTCACACATTTTATTATTTCATTTATATCATTCCAGCAAGACTACATTTTGTTTCATTAAGACAAGTAACAATGACAGCATAAGAAAAGTGAATAAGGGTATGTAAATTTATTTCTCTTACTCTATTTTTGTATGTGTGTGTGTGAGTGAGTGCATGTGACATGAATGGATGGGTGTGATGGAGGGATGGATGAATGGATAGAGGGAGAGAGGGATGGGTTGGTGGGTGGATGGATGGATGGACAGATGGGAGGGAGGGATGATGTGATTGTTTATGTATATCTATATGTATTTTTATATATAAATGTATTCACATGCATGCACGCACCACACACCATGCACACACCTTCACTTGCCAACAAGGAGCAAAGAAACCATGGTAACAAGACTGGTATTTGGATATAATGAGTGCTGGTGTTCCTGCTTTCAGAACTAAAGCCTGTTCTCCTTGACGCTGCTCGGAGTCCTGACTGTGTCAACCCAAAGCTGACGTCACTATGTGTGATGATCATGAAGGCATTTGAAACCCAGCAGGATTCTCGCTGTATGGTGTTTGTGAAGACACGAGACTTGGCGATGGCCCTGAAGCGCTGGATGGAGGATGACCAACATCTCTCCTACCTCAAGCCAGGCATGTTCACTGGACAGAATGCTTCTGCTGACAAAGGAGGTAAATGCGTTCAGTACAATTGCTGTGATAATATGTCCCCGTAGTTCCTTACTATCACCATTCTCACTTCATATCCCCATCCTTTTAGATATCCCCTTCCTCCCTTGACATCACCATCCTTTTAGATATCCCCTTCCTCCCTTGATATCCCCATCCTTTTAGATATCCCCTTCCTCCCTTGATATCCCCATCCTTTTAGATATCCCCTTCCTCCCTTGATATCCCCATCCTTTTAGATATCCCCTTCCTCACTTGATATCCCCATCCTTTTAGATATCCCCTTCCTCCCTTGATATCCCCATCTTTCCTTGATAGCCATATTCTTCCTCTATATCCCCATTTTTCCTCCATATTCCTATCCTTTTTTATCCCACCGGCATATAATGCGGTGGGATATAGTCGTCGCCTCGTCCGTCTGTCCGTCCGTCCCCCCCTCCGTCCGTCCGTCCGTCCGTCCGTCCGTAATCATTTTGTTTCCGGACCATAACTCAAAGACCGTTCGATGTTTTTTAACCAAAATTGGTAGATATGTCAAACATAACCTAAGGTGGTGCCTTTTGCTATTTACAGATAATTGTCATTTTTATTTTTCTCGGTTTCCATGGAAACGTTTTGGACTTAGACTTAAAGAAGGGTGGGCTTCGTTTCCGGAGCATAACTCAAGAACCGTTCAATATTTTTCAACAAAACTTGGTAGATATATCAGACAGATCCTAAAGTGGTGCCTTTTGCATTTCACAGATTTTTGGCATTTTTATTTTTCCCGGTTTCCATGGAAACATTTTGAACTTAGTCTCAAAAAGTAAGGATTGCTTTCGTTTCCGGAGCATAACTCAAGAACCATTCAATATTTTTCAACAAAACTTGGTAGATATATCAAACAGATCCTAAAGTTGTGCCTTTTGCTATTTGCAGATTTTTGGCATTTTTATTTTTCCCGGTTTCCATGGAAACGATTCGGACTTAATCCCAAAAGTGAGGGGTGGGCTTCGTTTCCGGAGCATAACTCAAGAACCGTTCAATATTTTTCAACAAGACTTGGTAGATATATCAAACAGAACCTTAAGTGGTGCCTTTTGCTATTTGCAGAATTTTGGCATTTTTATTTTTCCCGGTTTCCATGGAAACGATTTGGACTTAGTCCCAAAAGTGAGGGGTGGGCTTTGTTTCCGGAGCATAACTCAAGAACCGTTCAATATTTTTCAACAAAACTTGGTAGATGTATGAAACAGAACCTTAAGTGGTGCCTTTTGCTATTTGCCGATTTTTGGCATTTTTATTTTTCTTGGTTTCCATGGAAACATTTTGGACTTAGTCTCAAAAAGTAAGGATTGCTTTCGTTTCCGGAGCACAACTCAAAAACCATATAATATTTTTCAACAAAACTTGATAGATATATCAAACAGATCCTAAAGTTGTGCCTTTTGCTATTTGCAGATTTTTGGCATTTTTATTTTTCCCGGTTTCCATGGAAACGATTCGGACTTAATCCCAAAAGTGAGGGGTGGGCTTCGTTTCCGGAGCACAACTCAAAAACCTCTCTATATCTTTCAGCAAAACTTGGCAGATATGTGAGGCAGATATTGAAGTGATGCCTTTTGCTATTTGCAGATATTTGTGATTTATTATTTTCTCGGTTTCCATGGAAATGATTCGAACTTAGTCTCAAAAAGGAAGGGATGGGTTTTGTTTCCGGAGCACAACGCGAAAACTTCTTAATATCTTTCAGCAAAACTTGGCAGATATGTGAGGCAGATCCCAAAGTGGTGCCTTTTGCTATTTGCAGATTTTCGTCATTTATTTTTTTCATGATTTCCATGGAAACGATTTGCACTTAGTCTAAAATCAAGCTGGACTTTAAGTAACTGTCAGATGATTTGTTCTTTCAAAGATGTGGGGGCCGGGGGGATATGTCATCTTCTGATGACTCTTGTTGATATCCCCATTCTTCCCTAAACTACCACTTCTTTGATAACCCCATCCCACCCCACCCATCCCCATTGTTTACATAGAGGTGATCATGCTACTGAGATATAACCATTGTTCCAAGATATAACTTATTTTTCTTGATGTGTCCATTTTCTCTGATGTGACTGTTCTTTCTTTATGTGACCATACACCAAACGTGTGACATTTATACCTATATATGATCGCTTTACACAGATATGATCCTTCAGCAACGATGTGATTATTATTCCTAGATATACCAGCTTTACCTATATATGCCTATATCTGATTTTTCTGCCATAACACATCCTGCCTATATGTGGCAATTCTGCCTAGTAGGGGTGAAACGGTATGCTCTCATCACGGTACAGTACGTATTATGGTACAAGGCCTTCGGTTTGGTCTGTTTCGGTTCGGTATATGAGATATGATCATAATGCCGAAAATTGACAGAGTCAAACCTTACATTGTTTAATAACATGGAAAAAAATAGCCATAATCCTTGTTATTTAAAGAACAAAACTGTCATTTCATGACTAGATATGAATGATGTATGAAAACCAAAAATGTCGATTACGGTATACCGAACCAAAGGCAAAATGTGGTGGTTCTACTTATGCCACGGTATACCGCTTCACCCCTACTGCCTAGATCTGATAATGCTACCTGGATATGACAATTCTGCCTTGATATAATCATGCTAATGGATATGGTAATTCTACCTAGATATGATCACCTGGATATGATGACTGTGCCTAGATATGATCCTAATGGGAAGTTTTGGATGTTAACGTCTATATTTTGATGAAAGCGATGAAGGAGTACTGGTAAGCAGATCCGTCAAAACATTGCCTTCCTCATTACATAGAAGTTGACATCCATAAACTCTCTCCCTTGTGTTTATCACTTATAAGTGCCTTTCTCAGACTTGATTCATGTTTATAGGTATGACCAGGAATGAGCAGGTGGATGCTGCAGAGCTCTTCAGGAAAGGAAATCACAAAATCATTGTTGCAACGTCCGTGGCGGAGGAAGGCATGGACTTCAGCAAGTGCAACTTGGTCATCCGATATGAATATGTCACCAATGAGATTGCCTTGGTACAAGCTAGAGGTATGTCACCAATGAGATTGCCCTGGTACAAGTTAGAGGTATGTCACCAATGAGATTGCCCTGGTACAAGTTAGAGGTATGTCACCAATGAGATTGCCTTGGTACAAGCTAGAGGTATGTCACCAATGAGATTGCCCTGGTACAAGTTAGAGGTATGTCACCAATGAGATTGCCTTGGTACAAGCTCATGGTATGTCACCAATGAGATTGCCCTAGTACAAGTTAGAGGTATGTCACCAATGAGATTGCCTTGGTACATGCTAGAGGTATGTCACCAATGAGATTGCCCTGGTACAAGTTAGAGGTATGTCACCAATGAGATTGCCCTGGTACGAATTAGAAGTATGTTGCCAATGAGATTGCCCTGGTACAAGCTCGAGGTATGTCGCCAATGAGATTGCCCTGATACAAGTTAGAGGTATGTTGCCAATGAGATTGCCCTGGTACAAGTATGTCACCAATGAGATTGCCCTGATACAAGTTCGAGGTATGTCGCCAATAAGATTGCCCTGGTACAAGCTCATGGTATGTCACAATGAGGTGAGGTGGTGAGGGGAAATTGGGTTTAACGTCGTGCTTAGAATATTTCGCTCATATGACGACGTGCATGCGTGTGTATGTGTATGTGCGGCTGCTTGTACTAGCCCAGACTGAAGCTGGTTTTATAGTGCTAGCCCACTGAGATACACATTATACTGACTCTGAGCCAACCGGTCCTTGTTGTACCCATTAATGCCGAGCACCAGGCAGGGACCAACAAGTACCATATTTTAACGTCTTTTGGTATGACGCGGTCGGGGATCGAACCCGCGACATTCCGCTCTCCGGGCGGACACTCTAACCACTACACCTCGGAGGCGGTACGTAGGTCACAATGAGATTACCCTGGTGCAAGCTAGAGGTATGTCACCAATGAGATTGCCCTGGTGCAAGCTAGAGGTATGTCGACAATGAGATTGCCCTGGTACAAGCTGGAGGTATGTCACAATGAGATTGCCCTGGTATAAGCTAGAGGTATGTCACAATGAGATTGCCCTGGTACAAGCTGGAGGTATGTCAAAATGAGATTGCCCTGGTACAAGCTGGAGGTATGTCACAATGAGATTGCCCTGGTACAAGCTGGAGGTATGTCACAATGAGATTGCCCTGGTACAAGCTGGAGGTATGTCACAATGAGATTGCCCTGGTACAAGCTGGAGGTATGTCACCAATGAAATTAAAAGGTGAATGTGATATCATAATTATTTTGCACTAAGATAACATTTTAATATCATTCTGTTAAATGTTAGTGTCATGTTTCAGGCCGAGCAAGAGCAGAGGACAGCAAGTTTGTCCTGTTTACCAGCAACCAGCAAGGGGCTGCTGAGAAAGAGGAGCTGAACCTCATCAGGGAGATGATGATGAATGAAGCCCTGGTGCGTCTCCAGGCCACCATAGCAGAAAACCCTCGCCGATTCCGTTCTGAGATCCTCCAGCTCCAGAAAGAAGCCAAATCTGCTCGGGATCATGAGGCCATTAATCGCAAAGGTCGTTATCTCAGTGATGACGAGTTTGAAATACGATGTCAGAAATGTAACCAGTTGGCCTGTTTTTCTACTGACATCCGCACAATCAAGGAGACCAACCATATTGTCAATGACCCTGACTTTGGTACCAAGGTCAATGTCAAACCCCACCCAAAGCCTGGTAATATGGGGTTGGATATGAAGAAGCACAGTAAAATCTTTTGCAAGAAATGTGGATTGGATTGGGGAATTGGTGTAATTTACAAAAATGCTGATTTCCCTGTTATCAAGATTGAAAGTTTTGTTGCCATAGATACAATGGGTCGAAGAGACTCTCCGAGGAAATGGAAAAATGCTCCTTTTGAGGTGCCTGAGATTTCCCATGATGAAATGACCAACTACAAACCTTTCATCGCTTAGAATGGGAAGAAGTAGCCAAGTGGTTAGAGTGTACACTCATCACTCAGAAAGTCCTGGTTTGATTCCCTGCAAGGGTAGGATAAATCTAGACTGTTTTTGATACCCTCCACTATGATATTGCTGGGATATTGATATAATTTAAAATGTTACTGGCACCCAAAACGTTTAATTCGGTAGTTCAGGCCCATGATTAAGTGTTAACTTGACAGAAAACCTATGTTTGACTCCTGATGCACAAACACATAGTTTTCAAATGGTGTTGCAAAATACATGTACAGTATCACTGAACTCCACTGAATCTGTGGGCAACAGAATATGTGAAGTCCTGGAATGCTATACTTCAGGGGCGGATACAGCTTTTTGAGAAAGGGGTGTGTGTGTGCACACTATTGAGAAAAGGAGGGGTTTCAATGATGATTTAATACACTTTCAGGACAAAATCCACCTATGTATTTATTTAATGGAGGGTAAATGATGAGCATGCTTTACTTTTCATTTTCATGTCTACTATCGATAGTGTACCCAGAGACTGATGTTCACTAACGAAACTTGCCATCATTGGGCTGAGGATATTTGCAGTACAGTAATAGTTGGGTCTAGCCGTGAAGATTTGGGTTAGAATTGGTTTTCAGTAGCCCGTGCTTGTCGTAAGAGGTGACTAACGGGACAGGGTGGTCAGGCTCGCTGATTTGGCTGACACATGTCATCATATCCCAATTGTGTAGATCAATGGTCATGAAGCTGATCACTGGATTGTCTGGTCCAGACTCAATTATTTACAGACCTCCGCTATATGGCTGGAACAACAAAGAAAGAAATTAAGTAATGAGCTTTCATGAGTAGTTTTTATGCTGACTGTAATGAAGTTTATGCTTTTAATTTGTTGAATTTGAGGTTTATAGCCATATAGCTGGAATATTGCTGAGCGTGGTGTTAAAAAAAATAAAATATATATATATATAACTAAAAATAGTTGGGTCAGTTATTACACCCATCGTGTGAATAATTCACAGTTCAATGTGATCAAGAGGCCGAGTTGGACAAATATTGAATGAGCTGAGACTATGTCAGACTAGATACGACCCACATGACTCAAGCTTTTTTCACAAGCTTCCTTCTTGACAATAACCACTCTGTTAGTGGCATTTAGGAGTGATAAACATAAAGGCAAGACTTTTTTATGGATGTCAACTTCTTTATTGTGATGGACACGACGTTTCGAAGGTGAGTGATGAAGGTGTAAGAATATACTTTGAAACGTGTCCATCGCAATAAGTGAGTGAGTGAGTGAGTATGGTTTTACGCCGCTTTTTAGCAATATTCCAGCAACATCACGACAGGGGACGCCAGAAATGGGCTTCACACATTGTACCCATGTGGGGAATCGAACCCGGGTCTTTGGCGTGACGAGCGAACGCTTTAACCACTAGGCTACCCCACCACCCCTCCATAGCAATAAAGAAGTTGACATGCATAAAAAAGTCTTGCCACTCTGTTAGTGATTGTTTGTCAGTAGACCAACATGTTTAGAAAAGAAAACCATGGCAACAAGACCTGATGTGGGTTGTTAATGAGGGGACTTCTCTCTTGCTAACTGGAATGTCAGCACTACCAATACCGACATTGATCCCATAACCTTGAATCAGATATTTATTATTCTCCAAAGAAAGGTATTGAATAATATTTATCATTTGTATATTTTAGTATTTAAAGTGAAAATAAATGGCTTGTAATATCAATCACAGATTTGACTGGTCAAAACACTATCATTTAGAGGCTGTTTTACAAATGATTAGAAGTACATGTATTACTGAGAGCAAGAAGAAGCAAGCAGATGACTGTCACTGGAAGTCATTATATGCTAAAGAATTTTTAAACCCAACAACAAGCAATCTGGACAACTATGATCAGAATAGGTACTCCCTGAAAAAAACTTTGACGAAAGTGTAACCCATAGAAAAACCAACCCCCTTCTACAGACTGCTTTGTTTGGTCTTCAAAATACAGCTTATCTACGGTAATATACTGGACAAAAATAGTTAGGGATATATGTAAATTTTGAAATAATGAATAATGATCTATTTATTCATTGACACACTGATAAAATATCAATCATAAAAATACCAATATCCCTTACTTATTTTGTCCAGTATATGTTACCTGGTTGTCATAGTGAAGGTTCAAATTCATAACAGACCACTGACCGCTTCATCTACAATCTAAACTGCAGTGATATTTGTATGGGAAGATACTGTGGTGCCCATAGAAACTAATTGAAAACTAGCCCTTAATGTTCTTTTGTGATAGTTGTGACACAAGCATTGAAGTTTTTGGCATTAAAATTGCTTTACACATGTAGCGACAGAGGCTTTCTATTACACTATACAGATATATGTGCCATGCCATTATTTTCATTACTAATAAATTAATGAAGACGGGACTTACCAATATTTTTACTTTATATCATTAATTGGAGAAGTGTTTGAATTAATTATTTAGATTGAAATATTCTCCTTGTGATATTTTGCTGTGCTATATATCCCATGTTTTAAGTCACTTTAATAATTCATCTAATAAGTATTGGATAAGTAGATCTTTGTTGTGCATTGTGACTGTGATACTGTTTATGTTTTCACTTTCTTTTGATTTATATTAACAGAGCAAGATTTCATAAAATGGAACATTGTTGATTTTGTGACATATTTGTTCTGAAATAAAAAACTGCTATGGTTAGTCCTTCCTTGTTTGTTTGTTCATGTTCTGCTCCACGACATTGTCATGTTGAGTACCTCGGGATCTCAACATTTAAACTGCCAGTCCTTACTACAAGCGGAAACATAGGTTTAAACCACCTGTCCATACTACAAGCGGAAACATACGTTTAAACTGCCAGTCCTTACTACATGGGGGAACTAATACGTTTAAACTGCAAGTGCTTACTACATGGGGGAACTAATACGTTTAAACCACCTGTCCTTACTACAAGCGGAAACATACGTTTAAACCACCTGTCCTTACTACAAGCAGAAACATACGTTTAAACCACCTGTCCTTACTACAAGCGGAAACATAGGTTTAAACTGCCAATCCTTACTACAAGCGGAAACATACGTTTAAACTGCCAGTCCTTACTACAAGCAGAAACATACGTTTAAACCACCTGTCCTTACTACAAGCGGAAACATACGTTTAAACTGCCAGTCCTTACTACAAGTTTAAACCACCTGTCCTTACTACGTTTAAACCACGTTTAAACTGTCCATACTACAAGCAGAAACATACGTTTAAACCACCTGTCCTTACTACAAGCGGAAACATACGTTTAAACTGCCTGTCCTTACTACATGGAGAAAGTAATACGTTTAAACCACCAATCTTACTACATGGAGAAACTAATACGTTTAAACCACCTGTTCTTACAACATGGGGGAACTAATACGTTTAAACCACCAATCCTTACTACATATGGGAATTAATACGTGTAAACCACCAATCCTTACTACATGGGGGAATTAATACGTGTAAACCACCAATCCTTACTACATGGGGGAACTAATACGTTTAAACTGCAAGTTCTTACTACATGGGGGAACTAATACGTTTAGACCACCAATCCTTACTACATGGGGGAACTAATACGTTTAAACTGCAAGTTCTTACTACATGGGGGAACTAATACGTTTAAACCACCAATCGTTACTACATGGGGGAACTAATACGTTTAAACTGCAAGTTCTTACTACATGGGGGAACTAATACGTTTAAACCACCAATCCTTACTACATGGGGGAACTAATACGTGTAAACCACCAATCCTTACTACATGGGGGAACTAATACGTTTAAACTGCAAGTTCTTACTACATGGGGGAACTAATACGTTTAAACCACCAATCCTTACTACATGGGGGAACTAATACGTTTAAACCACCAATCCTTACTACGTGGGGGAGCTAATACGTTTAAACTGCAAGTTCTTACTACATGGGGGAACTAATACGTTTAGACCACCAATCCTTACTACATGGGGGAACTAATACGTTTAAACTGCAAGTTCTTACTACATGGGGGAACTAATACGTTTAAACCACCAATCCTTACTACATGGGGGAACTAATACGTTTAAACTGCAAGTTCTTACTACATGGGGGAACTAATACGTTTAAACCACCAATCCTTACTACATGGGGGAACTAATACGTGTAAACCACCAATCCTTACTTCATGGGGGAACTAATACGTTTAAACTGCAAGTTCTTACTACATGGGGGAACTAATACGTTTAAACCACCAATCCTTACTACATGGGGGAACTAATACGTTTAAACCACCAATCCTTACTACATGGGGGAACTAATACGTTTAAACTGCAAGTTCTTACTACAGGGGGGAACTAATACGTTTAAACCCCCTGTTCTTACTACATGGGGGAACTAATATGTTTAAACCAACAGCTCTTACTACATGGGGGAACTAATACGTTTAAACCACCTGTTCTTACTACATGGGGGAACTAATACGTTTAAACCACCAATCCTTACTACATGGGGGAACTAATACGTTTAAACCACCAGTTCTTACTACATGGGGGAACTAATACGTTATAACCACCTGTTCTTACTACATGGGGGAACTAATACGTTTAAACAACCAATCCTTACTACATGGGGGAACTAATAGGTTTAAACCACCAATCCCTACAACCAGTTACATGTACATAGAAAAAGACGGTCGTAAAGGAATTTCTACTGTCGGGTACCTGATAAGTTTTTGTTCGGGATATAGAACTGTAATAAAGTTGCACAGAAATGAAGCTCAAACAAAGAGTTCCTTTAACAGATGTTAATCTTAACTGAATACACGCTAACTTTAACATCTTCTGCAAACTACGAGAGTGACGATTTTGGAGGAGGACAGTCTGACTTTTCTCCAGAACCCCTGGCTTTGTCACAGACGTCCGGTGATCCACTAACATAATTCCCAATGCTATCTTGCCTTTCACGCCTTAAGGAATCTCTTATAATCGAGACCTTTTCGCATGGTCGTTTTGTTTTGTCTCTGAAACAAACCGTAAAAGACTATTATGTCGGGTGTTCCGTTTGGAATTATCTCTTAACAAACGTTTTCGTGGCAGATGTTTGAAAACACAAACATGTGGAGTGACATGTATGTGACCCAGGCGCTAGGTAGCTGCAGGTATATCTCACTGATTGTGACTTACAGTCCGTTTGAGTCAGAAACGGACCGATGAATTGCAGATTTTATAATTGTACAAAATTGCCACATAAATATAAATAGTACACATGTTTATCATTTACTAATACCCAACAGCTTTCTTTATATTTGAAAATTTGCCGGCCAAAAAAGTTGTTTAAGAAACTATCATCATTGAAAACGCAAAAGTTGTTATCTGTCGCGGCGCGGGTGAAACCGCAGAAACGGAACAGCCAGTCATGGCGGGGACATCTCAAAATCTATTCCGGGGAGACCTGTCGGTTCCTCGTCCGTCGTAGTGTCATAGTCACGACTTTGCAATTCATCGGTCCGTTTCTGACTCAAACGGACTGTAGCTGCCAACATAATTAACAGTCCAGCATGAGTTCTTTACTAAGTGAGTGAGTATGATTTTACGCCTCTTTTAGCAATATTCCAGCAATATCACGGGGGCGGGTGACACCAGAAATGGATTTCACACGTTGTATCCTTGCCTCTCAAAGAAGCTGTATCCTTTGTTGTTTTACTCTGCACTCAACTATATGCCAGCTATATGTCTGCGATCTGTAAATAATCGAGTCTGGACCAGACAGTCCAGTGATCGACACCATAAGCATCGCTCTACGCAATTTAGATACAATGACATGTATAAACCAAGTCAGCGAATCCTACCACCCGACAAACATGGTTCGCTGAAGATCAATTCCAACCCGGCTTTTCACGGGTCCGTCGTATCCATCCGAGTATATTGAACCCCCTGACGAGTGAACGCTTTGGCCACTAGGCTACCCCACCGCACCCAACGCTGTATTGAAAGATCCTACCAGCCTACTGATCACGATACCCCCAGTGCAGCAGGCAACGTTCATGCCACATAAGCTCACTCTCTTCTAGCCTAAGAAAAGGGCTGACGGCGATTGGATTAAATTTAAAGATTTTACTTCCTGAAAATGCCATCGGACAGTCTTTGTGATCATAGGATTTAAACCTGCGTTGTGCAAACAGAAGTCAGTGTAGCTTGGGCATTCGGTGGAGCAACAATGTTCTTGATTTGAAGATGGATTTTCGGTTGCTCTCAACTGGCACTTTGTTGGTTTTGTGGGTGTGGACTTCTGTGTCGGGTGAAATATTTATTCGAATCCTTTCCATTTTATTTTACAAACTGAACCAGGATTTACAAAATGTAAAAATATATTGACAAAGCATATTACGTTTCATTCTCTATTTGTATTTAAGTCATAAGACGAATATAAAATAATCCTCTTAAAATTTGCAAGTGTAAATGGTATCTAAATACTTTTATTTTACTCGATATCCCTTTTGGGTTTATTTGTTATTGAATTTGATTTGTTATAATGTTTTTGCTTTGTTTTTCTTTCTTTTCTTTTCTTGTGTAGTTTTGTTTTTAGATTTGGAGGTGTGGTGGAGTATCAACAATTTAATATGATTCTTTATGTACGTTATTCTTTTGGGGTCGCGTAGGAACGTTTGAAAATGAGGATATTCTGAGCAAGATGGATTCTGAGAGTGCCACAATACGATGGATTCAGCACAAAGAGAAGACACAGAAAAGACGTTCTTTGGACAATACGGTATTCATATATTTATTTGAAAATGAAAAACATTTATGAATGTGACTAAATTAAATAAAATGAATAGAAGTGCAAAGAGATAGGTGTTCGTTTGTCTCAGATTCCAAAGTGAAAGGCTGGGGTGGGAAATATAGACATTATACGTCATTGTTAATTGTATATATTACGAGAATGACGTCATAGTGACAATAGCAGATACTCAGGAATATATGATGTAGTCATATATCGTATGTCTCCGTGTATAAATGATCATATTTCCGATTGTCTGTTCATTAGCACAAATATTAATACTTACCTTACGAAATATTTACTACAAACCTTCAGTGCATTTATTCTTCGTTTATATATTCTGCGATATCTAACCTTTGCAAACGTTCCTTAAATTCCAGGGGCGGTGGGGTAGCCTAATGGTTAAAGCGTTGGCTCGTCACGCCGAAGACCCGGGTTCGAATCCCCACATGGGCACAATGTGTGAAGCCCACTTCTGGTGTCCCCCGCCGTGATGTTGCTGGAATATTGCTAAAAGCGGCGTAAAACCAAACTCAGTCAGTCAGTCAGTCCTTAAATTCCATTGGTGGTCGTAACGTGCAGTCGGCTGAATAATTCACATATGACCATCTAAAAGCTGTATAACATTTGTCTACAGCATGGCGACCGCAGTAGTGCGTTGGCAGTTGGTTGTATATCTTATAGTTTGAATAAACAAACCTAAAAGTCCTGATGTCACGGTAGAAAGACATACAGACACATAAATTTATTATGCCGTGTATGGGTATACATAGTGTCTTGCTATAACTATGTACAAGTCATGGCTACCCGTTCCTACGAACACGTACAACTATAGATCATCCTCATCATCATTGCTAGACACTAATTTATTCACCCGTGAAGATCCAGGTTAGGCTTGGTCTTCAGCAACCCATGCTTGTCGTAGGATGCGATTAACAGGATCGTATTGTCAGGTTGGTTGACACATGTCATCGTACCCCAATTGCGTAGATCGATGCTCACGTTGCTGATAACTGGATTATCTGGTCGAGACTCGATTATGTACATATAGTTGTAATAGTGTTGAGTGCGGCATAAAACTAAATTCACTCACTCACTAGTTTATTCATTTCAATGCGTAGTTAGATTCTTTTTATGCTACTTTCATTTGTTACAGGTATACCCTTTTTATCCGAATATGGTTTCCACTTGCAGCTCATGCTTGATGGCTGCCTACTCCATTCAGAGCGTGTTATATGCCTCCGTTGGCTCAACACCCGTTGTTCTTAGACAGCATGCTCCAAATAAACAAAGGAATCAAACACTAGATGTTTTTTCAGAATATGCTAGGTATATACCAGTGAAACCAACTACCAGTTGTTCTCTCAAATCACGCTAGGTATATACCGATGAAATCAAACATGAGCTGTTCCCTCAAATCACGTTAGGTATATACCGATGAAATTAAACACCAACTGCTCTCTCAAATCACGCTAGGTATATACCGATGAAATCAAACATCACTTGTTCTCTCAAATCACGCTAGGTATATACCGATGAAATCAAACATCACTTGTTCTCTCAAATCACGCTAGGTATATACCGATGAAATCAAATATCAGTTGTCCTCTCAAATCACGCTAGGTATATACCGATGAAATCAAACATCACTTGTTCTCTCAAATCACGCTAGGTATATACCGATGAAATCAAACATCACTTGTTCTCTCAAATCACGCTAGGTATATACCGATGAAATCAAACATCACTTGTCCTCTCAAATCACGCTAGGTATATACCGATGAAATCAAACATCACTTGTCCTCTCAAATCACGCTAGGTATATACCGATGAAATCAAACATCAGTTGTCCTCTCAAATCACGCTAGGTATGTACCGATGAAATCAAATATCAGTTGTCCTCTCAAATCACGCTAGGTATATACCGATGAAATCAAACGCCAGTTGTTCTCTCAAATCACGCTAGGTATATACCGATGAAATCAAACATCAGTTGTCCTCTCAAATCACGCTAGGTATATACCGATGAAATCAAACGCCAGTTGTTCTCTCAAATCACGCTAGGTATATACCGATGAAATCAAACATCAGTTGTCCTCTCAAATCACGCTAGGCGTATACAAATGAAATCAAACATCAGTTTGTCTTTCAGAGCAAGCTGGGTATATACCAATGAAATCAAACACCGGTTGTTCTTTCAGATGACGCTGGAAATATACCTCCATCAGTGGAACACTTCTATGACCGTGGAACTTGTCCGCAACAGGTAAGAATGAAAGAGTGAACATTTCGTTTTTATCATATGTATTTTCTTTAAAGTGTGTGTTTCCTACAACAGCCAAAAACGAAGGGTATTTGATTTACAATCCTAACTGCATCATCAATACTGAGTGGTTTTACGTCATCTTTAGCAATATTCCAGCAACATTGTTCCCTTGCAGGGATTCGAACCCAAGCCTTCTGCATGACAGCACTATTCATGAAGATTCATGAAATATTTGTTTCTATAAATGAGATTGACAGTTTCCTGAAGGCCAAGACTAGACTGTTGATTCGGAAAATACCGAGCAGGTTTTGAAAGTTAATGAAAACGTGTACTTCCCTATCCTGTGACGAACACGAGTGTATTTTGCTCTGCTTTATCTTCTAAAACGTTATCATATACCGCGGCATAGTTTAACCATACTAGATACAACGAAGGTATATTACTCAGCTTATCTTTAATCAAAATTATCGTATTCATAACTCAGAGTGAAACTCAAAATTAACGTCAATCTTGGAGCTTATTAGTATCGTTCTCAAGCCTGGTAAAACAGAGTGTAGCTAGTATCTATTGAATGTAATTCAGATTAAGTGTTAATCATATCGCATATCTTCCACGCATGTTTATTGGCGAGTTATACTTATTAGTAACGCATAGACACTGTCATCGAATCCTTGTATCCAGACAGCACCGACTCGCCGTACAACATGTTAATAGGTATGGTGTGTAAATTTATACTCTACAATACCCATACATACTGAACTGTCTACAGTCTTGTTTGATCACCTGTGTCTCCAACGACGATGTCGTACGTTGTCGTCGTGTTGTCATGTTGTGGTGTGGACAATACTCCAAATAATCGCGTTAATACAACATAAGCGGGTATACCCCGAGTTCAAACGCGGGCTGACAGTTGTATACTATGTTTGAACAATATCCTAATATATGGTTGTCTCATAGGCTCAAGGGTGGTGGGTTAGCCAGGTGGTTAAAGCGTTCGCTCGTCACGCCGAGGGCCCGGGTTCGATTCCCCACATCAAGTCCATTTCTGGTGTCCCCCGCTGTGGTATTGATGGAATATTGCCAAACGCGGGGTAAATCCCAACTCACTCACTGTTTCATAGTTAGTTACTTTATGAATATAAAAATAATCATAATTTAGTGTTCCTGTTAGGTTTACATATACATATTGTACTCCAGTTAGAATGTAGAACTATCGTCATTGCTTTTAACAAACATAAATGATTATTTCACTATTCATAAAGTAACAACAACAATTAGTGTGCTTACCAACGTTTGACAATATTCATCAACTCCACAGCAATGGCATGAACTTAATGAAACCGGGCCTGGCATGACTGGCTGGCTGCACTATTATGAATTTAACCATATGAGATATTGTTAAACATAGTAAACTGTCGGCAGATTTGAAATATTAGCTATTAGCTGCTGTTATTGGTATTGTCCCGCACCTGGCATATTTATTTTACGACGATAGTTGAGCGATCAACGGGCTTTATGGCGACCAATATTAAACATTACGCACCTAACCGGCATGGCAGTCATTATGCCAGTTTGAAGGACTGGGCGACAGTGCATCGTGCGTATTATAACTCGCCAATGGCTGTCGCGTGGAATATATGACGTGCTGCACAATTACATTCAATAGATACCAGCCACTCTGTTACCAGGCTTTCGCTCCAGGTATGACGTTATTTGGTTCCTCTGATTGGGCCTGAAGCAGTGGCTATAGCTTCGTTGTCTGGCAATGATTGCTGCTCTTATCTCGATAACGTTTTTGAAGATGAAAAGCAAAACCTTGCTCGTCGGCTGGAGAAGTGCCGCGTTTTCGTGGCAGTACCTTCTTTCCCACGATTTTGGTCGGCCTTCGGTTTGTCGATAGGTTATTGAAGCTGTAGTCTTCGTAATTCAATTAACGATAAACGCGAAGGCGAATTCGAATCCTGCAAGGCTGTGTTGCTGGAATATTGCTGAAGAGCTGACGTGCTTAACAAAGTGATGACGTGCAGTTGAATTGGCAAAATCAAACCGCTGGTTTGTGTTGGTACGCGCTGAAAGGTACGTGACTTAAAGAAACGGAATATTCGCTCTTTCATTCTTTTCTGTTGCCCGGCAACCGCGATAAATTGTTCGCGTTCGTCTGAAAGGGTAACCCGTCGTTTGATGATGCTATACCGGCTTTGCTCTGAATATTTAACCGCCTGGCGTATTTGAAGGACAACTGATGTTGTTCATCGGTATGCCTGGCGTGTTCGAGAACAACGGCGTTTATTTCATCATTATGGCGTGTTGAAGGACGGCTTGTGTTTGTTTCGTCGGTATGTACTGGCGTGACTGAGCAACTGGCGTTGACGTGACTGAAGGGACAGCTGATATTTGTTCATCGGTACATACCCAGCGTGGAGGAAGACAACTGATGTTTGTTGAGGACGAAGAGTGATGTTTGTTCATCGGTGCTACTGGCGTGATTGAGAGGACGAAGTGATGTTTGTTCGTCGGCGTGTTCGAAGAACGAGTGATGTTTGTTCATCGGTATGCTGGCGTGTTGAAGAACAGTGATGTTTGTTCATCGACTAACCTGGCATTTGAAGGATTGGCTTCGATATTTGATTTTCATCGGTATATGCCTGGCGTGATTTGAAGATGAAGTGATGTTTGTTTCATCGGTATACTGGCGTGACTGAAGGAAGAACAGTGATGTTTGTTTCATCGACATACTGGCGTGTTGAGCGATTGGTGTTTGAATTCTCGACGTTTGGCGTGTTTCGGTTTCATCGATGCTGTACCCAGCGTGTTGAAGAACAACTGTTATTCGAACGCTACCTGGCATATTCTGAAAACGTCTGATGTTTGATTCGGAGCGTAATCTGCCAGAACGGTGTTGTTGACCAACGAGCATAACTTACGCTCTGAAACTGGTGAGCGGCCATCAACGAGCTGCAATTAAATTCGGATAAAGAACATACCTGGCGAAATGGTGGCAAAATCAACACGTTAATGAATAGGCAGTGAGGTAATTGGTTGCATGTACGCGCTTTCAACTATTACAATGCCTGTGTACATAATCGATGCTCATTCCGGGTATCGGTGTCAACGGCGGTGCGTCGATCACCGCAGTGAAGGTACCATGTGATCGGCGGCATTGTCGTCGTCACGGTGGCGTAGGTTGCCCCGAACCGAAGCCTAACCTGGATATTTCGCGGACGAACTAAATTGGTGTCTGTAACGATGATGGTGCGTGTTCGTAAGGTGAGCAACCAGCTTGACATTGCGAGGTTATATTGAACGCTATGCTCTGCATACCCGGCGTAATAGAACGTATTATTCTTCTGCATCGAGACTTTGGGCTGTTTATTCCCGAACGCAAAGATAACGCAATGACTTAACCGGCTTGCGCTATACGACCGTGCTGGCGAAATGTTATACGGCTTGAATGGTCGTATGTGAATTATTCGACCGACGCTACCTGTTCACGACCACTTCAATAATTTGGAACGAGTTGGTTTACGCCGCGGCAATGTTCCGAAACGCGGCGTAGGCGGGACTGCCGGAAGTTGGGCTGCACGACCGTATGATTCGAACGGAATGGCGTGACGAACAACCTTGTCCCCACCGCCTAGTGGTTTGCGGGGTTGGATATCGCGAATATATAGACGAAGATAAGTTTGATAGCGGAGTAAAGTGACCAATATTTGATAGCTGATAATATGATCATTGCTACAGGAGACATACGATATATTGTTGCGATAAAACCATATTCACCGGTATCTGCTATTGTCACTATGTTTCGTTAACAAACGGTATGTACGGTGTGGGCGTGCCAATGTCTGTATTTCCGCTGACTTCGCACGAGTCTGAGACGAACATTTCTTTTGCGCTTCATTCATTTTGTTGTTTGGTCACGTTCGCAAATGTTTTCATTTTCAAATAATATGTATGCCGTGACGTCGAAGAACGATAACCTTATCGATATTTCTCCATTGCTGAATCCCATCGTCAACCATTTCTCGAAATCCGTCTTGTCCTCGTTTCGAACGTTGCATTCTAAAGAGGCTGGCGATCGTATTAATTGCGTGCTCCGCCGCATATCAGGTAAAAGACAAAGAACTTCGCAGAGAAGGAAAACGAAGCGAAAGCATTATGACGAATCGAAATTCAGTAAACTGAAGCGCAGGCAGAGGATGTCGGTAGAAGATAAAGTGTTGAATACCGTTACGCTTGCGAACACCCAAAGAGGCTCGACGTCTTCATGACAAAATACTGGAAATGAAGGATGAAACGTATCTTTTCGTCGTATATTTTGCATTTTGTCGGAAGTCTGGTTCGGTGAAATGAATGGAAAGGATTTAAATCAAATACTGCCCGACACCGAACGCCCACAAGGCAACAAGGAACCGGTTGAACGCAATCAATCTTCGAATCTAAAGAACATTCCGCCGGTCTTGGCTTTCCGCGACTTCTGTTTGCTGACGCGGTTGCCGTCACAGCGATGCAAAGAGACGTATTTCGGTAATCTTTAGAATTTAATCGACCGTCTTTGGGTGAAGATACTGCTGCACTGGTGTCGTGATCGGCGAATCTTTCAATAGGCGTTGGTGCTGACGAACAACCTGATGACAACGTTCGCTCTGCGGAAGTGCTCGGATGGTGTTGGACCGTTGTTCGGCGAACCGTATTTTGATAAATTGACAGAACTAAACGACTATTTTATACGTGTCATCTGGTAACGAGAACGCTGTTCGATCGATCTGGACTGTTGATCCGGACGTTGTTACGGGTGGCTTGACGTACAGTTGATTGCCGAGTAAACGACGAGAGACTTCTTTTGAGCGAGTCTGGCGATGATCCATTTGTTGATAACTTATCCATGTTGCTGAACGACGCTGAAAGAAGACTGGCGCTAAAGAACTCGTACTGAACGACCAGTATGTTGGCGGCCGTTTGGGGATCGAGAAACAGACCGATAATTACGAGATCATTGT